CGGCAGGACACGGGGCCCTGTGACACCGCTCCCGCTGGCGTGCAGGTCGGCTGCGTCACCACTGACTTCGCCATGCAGGTGGGTGCTGGTGGCTGCCGTGCAGGGGCAGGCTGCAGCCTCGAGCTCGGCCGATGCCCTGTTGGTGCTGCACCTCCCCTGCTGAGATGGGTGGTTGAAGGGGGCTGGCACCGGTGGCCTGAGGAGCAGATTCCTGGATTGCTCACACCCCTGGGCTGGCTAAAGCAGCACGCTGACACTTGCCACAGAGGAGTGTACTGCTGAATCCCTGGAACAGGATGAGAGCAGCTTCGTGACAGCTCTCTTTTTGTTAAAAACAGCTGGTTTTGTCTACAGCAGAAGCCTCTGCAGAGCCTGTTTGCTTTGCTTCTGGTGGCCTCTTGCCACCTGGACAGTCAGCCCTGGGCTAAACAGTTTGGCAGTCCCACCTCATGGTGCCCTGTTTCTCCCTCCTCATTGCAGAACGTGCTGCTGCAGATGGGGCTCCACGTGCTGGCAGTGAACGGCATGCTGATCCGCCAGGCCAGGAGCCACATCCTCCGCTGCCACGGCTGCTTCAAGTAAGTGCTGTGTGCGCAGAGAAGTGCTGCTCCTCCCTAGCAGGAGCCCTTCAGGGCTCCTCTGGCCTTTTAAAGTGGCTCAGGGCTTTGACCTGGCTCACGTGGCTGGATGAACCTGCTCGTGTGGGCTAAGCCTGGGTTTACTGCTCCCTGGGCTGTGGAATACCTCTGTCACTGTCCTGCAGGACAACTTCCGACATGACCAAGGTTTTCTGTCCTCACTGTGGTAACAAGACTCTGAAGAAGGTCGCAGTGAGCGTGAGTGACGACGGGAGCCTCCACATGCATTTCTCCCGCAACCCCAAGGTGCTGAACCCACGAGGGCTCAGGGTGAGTAGCCGTGCGCGACGCGCCAGCCGGCTGCTGCTGGAACAAGGGCTTTCCTTGCCGCTGCCGGTGAGCGGGTGGGACCCACTGATGGGCGAGAGTCAAGGCAGAGCTGCAGTCGTCCTCTAGACCTTCCGCATAACCCAGAGGCTTTCAGGCTTCTTTCACCAAGTTCTTTGCTTGAGGCTAGGCCACTTGTCGAATGTTGAAGCCCCTCTGAGGGAGAGTTGTCCCTGAAGTGAGTGTAACAACTTCTGCTCTCTTCGCAGTATCCGCTGCCGGCTCCGCAGGGTGGGAAGCACGCGAACAACCCTCACTTGGTAGAAGACCAGCCCTTCCCACAGCAGCGGCTGTCCCGGAAAGCTAGGCAAAAGACCAACGTCTTTGACCCCGACTACATTGCAGGGGTGTCTCCCTTTGCAGAAAACGACATCTACAGCCGTGCAGCCAATCTGCAAATCCGAGACGCTGCCCTCGGTGCTGGCAGGAGGCGCCTGAACCCCAATGCTGTGACAAAGAAGTTTGTAAAAAGGAGATGAATGGCAGGCCAAGGCCTTCTCCCACCTGCACTGTGAGGGAAGGGCCGTCGCCCAGGTTGTTACGCACATTACTGTCCCGTGCCTGAAGCTCTGGGAGGATGAGACATTTCCTCGAACTGTTCTAAAGGCAGCTGCCCAGGACAAGGGGCTGGGCCTTTCCTTTTAAGTTTCTGTGGATGTGTGAAGAGCAGCCAGTGACTGGGGACAACAATAGTCGCGTTTCACAAGGCCTCGCACCTGAGCTGTCCGCCAGACCCAGCGTGCTGCGACGGGGGTGTTAGCCTGCAGGGCACGGCCTTAGCGTTCCGGCTTGTCTCCCAAGACACTGCAGCAAAGGGCAGCGTCGCCTGCCTCTAATAAAAACAAACAGCAGAGTCGTCGTGGCTCAGTCCTGCTGCACGCTGAAGGGGACGGGTCTGTCGTGGTTGGTTGCGGGGCGGGTGGGAGCGAAGCAGGTGCCACGGCCCCGGCGAGGGAGGAGCAGTGCTCAGCCCCACTGGTGCCTGGAGGGCTGTTGCCAGGCCTGAAAGATTTCCCTGTTTCCCAGAGACTGCTGCCCTCCAGCAACAGTGTCTACACCCAGCTGAGGGGAAGCAGCGAACACAACTAATAAGCCACAAGAGCGGAGGATGTGGTGGTGGTGCTGTGCTGGACGAAG